GTGGACACTTTTTAAATTGAAAAATTTATATAAATAAAATAAAGTAAAAATAAAACAAAAGGTAAAATATATTTATTTTACTTTTATTAATTGATTTTTACAAAAAAAATTATGATACTAATATTTAATTCTATTGCCATTTGCGGTAATAATTGTGTTGATCCTCCGTGGCATGCTATTGATCAATTTTTTGTAATATTCTGAAGGAATATCTTTCTAAGTACTTTTAACATATTTTTCAAGCTCTCAGATATTAGATAGTGGGGGAGTACAATGTCGAACTATCATTTTCATTTCTGCTTAAAGATTTTTGATTGGATTTAAGTTCAGACTTTGGGCAGGCCAAGGAAGCATCACAATTTCAGCACTTTCACAAGCAGCTGCAGTAACTTTTGAATGATCCGATGCAGCATTATCTTCTTGAAAAATTCCATTACCATGAGAAAAATACTTCTGTAAAATAGGAACAACATATTTTTGAATAGTTTCAGCATGTGTTTTATCAGTAACTGAACTATTTAAAGGAACAATTGGTCTAAGTTCATTTCAAGAAAAACATCCCTAAAACATTTTTCTTGGACTGTTACAGTAACTGAAATGCAATTAGAGTTCAATTCTTCTTCTGGTTCACGTCATACTTTTCCTTGACGTCCTTGTTGAAATTGTGTAAAAGTACTTTCATCTGAAAAAACACTTTTCTCTATTGTCTTATTATCCATTTTTCATATACGCGAGTTTATTTGAGTCGAGTTTGACAATATGCTTCTGTCATTGCAGGTTTGTGATGAGGAATACGAGCACTAAGTCCAACTTTTTTGGAGGTATGACGTATAGTAAATGCAGAAATGGTTTTTTTTGTACAAGCTGTCCAAACAGTTGCAAGTTTTTTTGCACAAAGCTGACGATTTTCACTATTTTCTTGAACAAAAGCTTTAAGCTCTTGTTGAGATGGTGTATTAAGGAGTGGTAGGTAGCCAGTTTGTTTTTTGGTGTGAAAGAACCAGTTTGACGATGGCGTTTAAGTACTTTATAAACAGCTGTTTTGCTATACCCCAAATTTTTAGCAATAGTTCGACCTGATTGTTCACATTTTTTATCATAAATAATAGCATCACGGGTTTTTGGGGTGAGCACCTTCATAATTTCATAAAGCTTTAACTAAAAGTGGAATAGCTAAAAAATTTTGTGTATATGTTTATCATATAAATAAATAAAAAATCATAATGTTTATATCATGTGATCATATGATAATTTGCCCAATTTTAGTAAAAAAAATTGTTCGCATAATTTTGGTCGTTGACTGTAATATAATATAATTTTAAATACATAATATAAATTACATAATTTAAAATTATAAAAATAGATTATTTTAGCATTAAAGCTCATATTTTATTTATCATATTATGCAAAAATAAAAATTAATTTCAGAATACCTTTTTTTTAGCAAATCTTTCATATGATTTTTTCAGAAAATATTTTGAAGAATCAATTAAAATTAAGTTTTGTGATATTAGTATTGATTTGGTAATTATTCTAAATAGTTTATCTAGTATATATCAACTACTTGATATAACTATTAATAAGCTATTTAAAGTTAATCTTTATAAAAAATAGCATATTTAAATAGCAGAAAATGATGCAAAAATGATTATACAGAAAATTCTTTGTGTTAGATTATCTGATATTTATAGATAAATTAAACTACTTAAAAAAATCTCAGATGAAATAATTATAGGATTATTTAAGACCTGTAAAATTTTGACTATTAATAAATCAGACGATAAATTACTGAAAATAAAGATTCTAGTAACAATATCATTGATATTAATAATGATATTAATAGTATTTATAATAATAGTGATATTAATAGTAATATAAATAATAATAATATTATTAATGATAACAAATAAATATAGTTTTTAATAAATAATAATTATATAGCTATATATGATAATTACATTTTAGTCATGAAGTAATTTATAATAATGAAAATTTAATTATCTAATTATAATATAACTTTACAGATAATTTTACAATTATTATGAGTAATACATTGATTAGTAGATTTTATCACTTTGTGACAAAATATCTATTATGTATTACTTATCATAAACTATAAAGTAATCTTTGATAACTCGTAAAATTTTTATTAATAATATAATAGTTTATAATAAGAGGTTTGCTATTTATCACCACTGGTGCTCAGCATCGGTATCACGTGACCTCATATATCATGTGACTTTTATAATGTTGGCAATGTATAATAAAAAGTCAACCAAAGCTTTA